CCCCCCACCCACCCTCTCTCTCTCACAAACAACGTATTTTTTTTTGACCCCCCAAACCACAGGGAGCCCAATTTAGATAAAATTCAATGGTGAAAATAAAATCGGAAAAACTAAATAATCAATTATTCGTTTAATTCGAGATCAAGATAATGTCCTCCGTAATACGAAAGAGTAGAAAAATCGTTAAAAAATGCAACAGAACATTTTTTTTCGCGCGCGCTTTGTTTTCCTATATAATTCCTCTATGGTATCTCGTTGGTATGTCGTTGCCTCTAAAGCAGCAGAATGGCTAAACAAAATTAATTTAGCAGCAGAAAGATATACCATGCGTTTCATACTCTATCAATAAAAGATTATAAAGACAAGTGGTCAAGTTTTCCACTTGTAGGAATTTATCTCTCTATAAAAAAAAAAATTAAACACACAAGTAGCCTCTTAAAGCTTCATTTGATGAAGCTATTTCCAGAAGAGAAAAATACTTGAGGAAAGTTAACCAATACGATTTTACATGTTAAGTTAAGTGGAAAACGTCAGTCAGGTTTTTGGACGCGCTTTTTCTTTTATTCATCGTTTTTTAATCGTTTTTGAAAGTAGAAAATATTCGACCTCAAAAAACAAAAATTATTTTAAAAAAACTGTCGATAAAAACAAATTAATCCAGGAAAAGACAAAGGCAACACATTGAAATGTGTATAAAGCAACAGAAAAGCAAGAAACGTGTACGTAGGTTGTCCGTACAAAGTAATCAATATATTAATAAACGTAAAAATGAAAAGATATAGTGAAAACCACGTACTCAACTGGTGCACTTGACGACGAAAAGACACAAGTGCCCGTTTTGTACAAGAGATAAAACGAATGTGAAGTGGTTCGTTTCCTGATGTGGTGCCCCTTAGGGCATTTACGTGTGTGTGATGGAACAACACACACGAACGATGATAAGATACAAAGGAATCGAAATAATAATTTAAATGATAAAAAACAAGAGACCATTGTCACTTAGGAAGAAAAGAATAAAAATACAACAATGTTTTAAACTGAATACCAATCGCTGAAAAGGTTCTTAAAGTCAAGCAAAACTTGCCAATACTAATAGAATGAACTTAGATATTTTTCACTCAAAACATGTTTTATTGCTGTAAACGTTTTCCGTATTCATTACTAATTTTTTGGACTATTTATTATTCTTTTATTACACGATATCGTTATCATTAATTAAGCTCCTTAAATCTAAATCCTTATTATTCATTATTCGTGCAAGCGTTTTAGTACAGCGCCATTCAGTATTTGACAGTATAGTTCCACCCCGGATACATTACACACGCGTTGTTTTCAAGGGATAGACTTATTCAGACTAGCTAAAGTGGTTAATTTAAGTCGCTTGGCTCTCAGTTTGCAGGCTTTCTAATTAGACTTCTAGGAAGGAGGGGCATTAGCCAAAACATGAATTTTATCGAAAGTATACGGAGGGTCGTGACAGGATAAAATGGGAACTAGGATGCGCCTTTTTGATTTGAAATTGGATTATATGCACATATGGAATGGTATTCACAAACAAAAAATATATTATAATATGGGAATGGAATTGAGATTCGAGCAAAACATAGGCTGGAACAATGGGATTTGGTCAAAATGGTGGCTGGGAAATGGGATTAGGAACCCCCTCCCCCCCTTCAGGACCTCTACACGGACACGGCTAACTCGTAGATTGGATCCTGAAACGATCTCTGGCTGATCAAAGACAGATTCACAGATTGAATCGAAATTTAGCGTATTAATTAATTTTTGCGCGGAGAAAAGAAAACCGGAGACATTGACCTCTCGAATCAAGGGAGAGACCTAACAAACTCTACATGTTGCTTTCCTCTGACTAAGCATAAAAAGTAAGAAATACTAGTCATGGTTATCTTCCTCAAACTCAAAAATTTTGATTATAAGGTTAACTATGTTTTCTTTTGCAGCCCAATTTCCAACCGCAAACAAATCGTTAAAAGAAGAATTCAAGAATCGATATCTCCAAAAGATAAGAACATCTATCGTAAATTATTGGAATCAAATTCTGACGGGAAAGAATGGAACAGAGCCGAAAGTGAAAAATGTGACATCCAATATATACCACGTGATAAGTGGGGCAGAGCACGTGATAAATACAACCAATCAGATAATGAATATAACTCACGTGGTTAATGCATCAGACCAATCATCGAGAGTAAAAATCCAATTGGTTAATATGACAGGTCATGTGATCAATATGACTGGTCATGTGATAGGAAACTCGAGTCAGCCTTCTGTTACCATGGAAATGCCGATGTATAACAATTCTATTGAAAGATTTAGGAATAATTCGTTTACAATTGACAGCAACGATAAATTAAACAAAGAGGGAACCTTTTTCAACATCAGCAAAAGTAATAATGAACAATCTTTGAAAAACAGAACGAAAATGAAAGTCAACATAAATTATGCAAGGGCTTCAAACATGGAAGGCTTGGACTCAAGCAATGCAACGTATTTTATGGATATTAACAAAACAGAGAACGCGAAAATGTTGGCTTTACAGCAGTCAGATTCTTTAATAAACCAGTCCAAAATGGGAAAAGATGTGTTGAATGGTACTGAAGTGCTCAGCGATGTAAATGAAGTTTCAAACAACACTGAAGGGCCGTCAGTAGGCCAAAGTATGCTGTCAAACACAGCAACAACTTTTCAATGGAGAAATAACTCAAATCTAGCACAAAATGAGAACGACAGTAATTTTCTGAGTGCGAACTCTAAAAATGCGTCACAGGGCAAGATATTTTTAAATGTAACTAAATTCAATGGTATCAAGTTTGACCGAATGTTGAGGACAACAAACATAAGCTTAAATCAAACGGCGAGCAAAAACAAGCTCTTAAATCTTTTCGATTTATTTTCTCCTGCAAGAAATTTAACAACAAAAAATTCAGAAACAATCAAGAATAATGAAACTACAGACACAGAAAAAGGCATGGCTCAAGAACAAGTCAAACCATTCTGGAATATTCCGAGCAATAACAGAAACAGAACTGAATTATTAGAAGAAATAATAGATGATATACGATAGCCAAGTTAGACTGAAGTAAAAACGAAGAACATGGGAATTAAGAAAACGAATATATTTGAATTCAGCAATTTTTTGTCGATAAAAACTGGGTGAAACTAAAAAGCTTTACCATCTTCAGTGTATTTGAGACGAAAATATAATGAAAATAAGAAATAAAGAAAAGAGAGTTTGATGCATGTTGCATGCTGCATGTTGCTTACCAAACTGGAAATTTATCATATTAATATGTAAATAATGTCAGCACAGAAGAAAATATACCGGTAAAACGTGTAGACGAAGCCGCTAAGTTTGTTAAAATTCCACCATATTACTGTGAGCTTTCTCTGATTTGCATCGCTCACAGTGCATTTCGGTCTTCTTAAGCAATATTCAACATGCAGCATGGAACAAAACCTTCACCAACCTGGCTCCTTTAAAAAAATAGCTGCATATTTCATCTCAAAAATTCATCTATTATACCTTTGACAGGTGCTTTGTGCATGGTTACGATGCCCCAAGCAGCCAGCGGGGAAATTGCTCCCGCGAGTTTGCCATTTTCTGTCAACTTTGTTTGGTTATTCTCAGAACTTGGAAATTTGCAAACATGTTGTATTGAAAATATATTATACACTCTGTTCCCATAACATTGTATTTATATCTTGGGAAAGCTAAAAAAAGTTCAAAATTCTTGTTTTCCTTATGTTTTTGCATTTCAATTTCATATGAATTTTCGCGGTTTTTTTGCTTTCTGCGTCCGGAGGATTGTGGGTAATGCGGCGACATCACGTCCAGGAGTCCTGGTAACTAGTCCTCTTCTGAACGTTTGAAAAAATGGCGCTCACTATTGACGAAGGTTGGATTCGTGAACGAGTCAAGCTAAAACACGACCATCTAGGTAAATTATTTGTCTTATATTCTTACCTCTGCCTTAGTACATCCATTAGCTAGGACTTGGAAGTAAGCGATCGTTTGCTGGTCGAGTTGATCGCGATTAGATGTGGTTGTTTTGAAGTGCATTCCTGTGGAGAAGAGCATTTGAGCTGTCACTTTTACACCTCGAGTCATTGTGAAACAACCTTAAACACTATGGATCAATATTATCGGACCTTAACTGCCTTTGCCGCTCATAGAATGCGCTTTAGTTGGGTTTATTGAAACTGAACTCGCCTTAGAAACTCATACTTTTGATGTTTTTATCCTATCGTGAAGTGCTTTTCTCACTTTTGTGTTTTTGACATCAAAACAAAATTAACTCGTCTTTTGTTATCGCCAAAAAGTCATGTAATTAATTATCAACTGTCCTTTTAATACTAGCAATATTTATCCTAGAATATCAGGCAATGATCTTTGGAAATTACGGTAGATTTTTTTCTCAACGCTAATAAATATTTTACGAGTCACTAATTAATAAAAGTACGGCAGGTTTGAATAAACACACAGGCTCAAATTGATTAACAATTAGGTAAACTGAGATCGACTTGTAAAACATAAACATATGTCATGTTTAATTTGAACGGTAATTTTCTTTAAAAAATTAAAAGAAAAATTGAAAATATTATTTGGATATAAGTAATTACAGTAAACTTTTTATTAAAATTTTGCTAGAGTCACCTTAGGAATTTGTAAATTGTTTTAAGCAATTTGCTTTAATCCTTTGGTATACAGTACAACATGAAATATTTGCATATTAGTTGTATATTTGTAAAAAGCAGAAAAGAGTGTGTACAGGTCCTGATAACAATTTAATCTATTATGACACTATTGTTTTAAAAAAATAGATAGATGTAATCGTGGAAAAAGAAATGACATTTGCATTCTACATACTCTCATCTAACATAACATAACATAAACCAATCAAAGCTAGCTTGTATTATATCTATGAACTTCATTTCTTACGTAAAGCTTATTAGTGAGCTAAGCATCTGATACGAATGAGTATTTTTAAGAGTCACCCAGTATAACAGTGAGGAGTAAAACTATACAGCCATGTTAGATGATAGCACACGTCTTATAAGTTGTTTGTTATATGATTCTGGCAAGAAGTTGAACAATTGATGCATTTTCTAATTAATTTCAACTGTATGTGATTGAACTGCATGGTCTCCTATTTTTGTTGTTCTATTAGATGACGTAAAATCATTGTCGTTACCTGGCACATATCAAGAAAAGATCACGTCTGTGGGTAATGCTCTGAGAGGATTCATGCGGCTCAAAAATCTGGACTTGTCAAGGAATTCTATCAACAACATCGAGGTCAGTAGGCTAATGATTAAACATAAAATGCCTGATCTTGAATAAGAAAAGTTTTTTAATATTAATACAGCTATTTTAAAAATGAGGTTAATGAAAATTTTGTTGCATGTTGTTTACCAGTATTTGCAATTGATTATAGATTGTGTAGATCCAGAAATTATTCAACCCCCCCCCCCCACCCCCTGGAAATTCCAATTTACTTCCATGCAAACTCTGTAATTTTGTTCTTTCTCTGACCCCCACGTCTTGGAAATTCCAAATTCATCTGTTGGGGGGGGGTGTATGGATAATTTCTACACATTCATGTTTAAATAATGTCAACACAGAAGAAAATATGTTGGAAAAATATGCACACTAGGGTGGGTAAAATTACATATGGTTGTGACCTTCCCCTGATTGGATTCACATCGCCCATAGTGCAATATTCAGGCTTGGTATCGACATGGAACAAATCATTCCACAACCTTATTGATATTGCGTACATAGCTGTATTTACATGTTAAAGCATAGGACTAATATGTATTGGAAAAGACCCTTTAGCTTGGGTTTAATGTCTTTTCATTTCTATTTATGTCCAAGCTGAAGAGGACTAATGCTTTAATAATAGTACAATAGATCTTTCATTATTCAATGCTGGTACCCCCACCCCACACCCCACACCCCACCCTTCATTCTTGGAATAAGCCCACTCCAATTAAAAATATTTTAAAAGAAATACTGTTTGTTTCAAACTTTTGCCAACAAAATTTAATTTAAAACTTTCTGAGAAAATAAGCTTCAAGGTTTCGTAACTTATTTTTGCAGCCCCATCTCCCCCATTATAAAAGCTTTTGCAGAGGGACGGGGGAAGTGAAAGTATGGATGTTTTCACATTTATTTCCATAAGAATCCTGTGGTGTCAACTCCCTATTCAAGTATAAAATGTTTTTATTTGTTCATCTTTTTAGGGTTTAGAACACTTGCAAGTATTGGAAAATCTTAATTTGTATCCTTTTAAGATTCTTATAGTAGTAAT